AGGGAAAGATTTATGCAAAAGAACAAAAATATCTTAACACCAAAATCCGAGCAACCAAAACTTAGAACACTTGACAGAATAAATGCACCATCTGAAAATGTTAATTTTGGCAAATAACCAAGACTTTATTTGAACAAAGGATAGGTTGTTCTAAGGTATTTTACAACAGTCAAGTTTTAAATCTTTTCTATTTACTTCTAAATTAGTTATAATTTAATACAGTTATGCAGTTATAGCCCAAAAGCATGGAAAAAAATTAAATTCCCTTTCTCTGTCTCTTCCCCCACAGAGATGATATAATACAGTAATTTGTGCAGCAAGTTGAAAAGAAATGTTCTGAGGGAATCCTGTTTAGCCTTAGCTAAATTTGAAAAATTGTGGGAGTTACATATTACACAACTTCCATTCATTCGTAATTTGATAGTGTACATTGATTTTTTTGGCAAAATGACAGTCCTTTGGTATGTGTAAAGAATATTCCAGTGTTAGTACTAAGACAGTTGTATGTTTGAAGTGCTCAAGATGCCCTTTAGAATGTATATATTTTTGGAAAGAGGTAGAAAAGATTGTTTTGGGTTTTGCAACTTTTATGAAGCAGTGTCTTCAGGTGACATGCCTACAATTTGAAACTAAATGAGATTGTTGATGATATAATTTGATGCACAGAATGAAGGAACTGAGTGCTCTGAGCTCAGTGTTAATCTTAAGAGATAGTATGTGGACCTAAGGTATCCTTCTGTTGATTGAGGAAAAATTGCTATGGAAGTTTAAGGTTCAATGCATCTGAGCTTCCACAATAGCAGTTTTGATTTTTGAGCAGATAATCACATTGCCAAACAAATTAGTTAAAGTTTATTCTACAGATACCAGAGAATCAGCTTTACTGAAGTTAAAAGTATTCACGCTGCTTATAAAGCTAAGAGAATAACTGAGGAGAACAACTGGTTGTCCTTTTGGTGTTTGAGCTCGCGACTTGTCAGTTCTGGTCTTCTACGTCAATATGCTTGCTGCTATTTCCACCTTTGCTTTGGTATCTTTTTATCACTAGTGTTTTAGATTTCTTTCCTGTCCACAGAGATGTCTGCTGTAATAGGAGACTCTTGGGGAACCTACTGATCTCAGAGAACTGTTTACGATCACCTTTTGATGCATGATACAGTGTATGCAAATCAGAGAACAGGTACATACATTTCACCTTTTATCTGAAGAGGAAGTATTTTTTCCCCAAGTAATGATGGTGAACAATACTTCAATTATTTACCATATACAAGTACCTTTGTTCAAGTATTTGCAGTACTACAACGCTGCAGCTCATAAAAACCAAGTGAAAATGCCCTAACTGTGAAACACTGAGTTACTTCTAGTGTATCTTTTTCATGTTGTTTCATTAAGAGATTAAACTGATTCATTCTCTGTAGTAAAAAGAAGCTCTTCTTGGACACCGCAATAACAATTGTTTTGCGTAGAGCAGTTTGTTCTGTTGTTTTAAAACTACAAAATGAGATGGAGCAAGAATCTGGTGCAATTCTTTAATTTGAATAACCCGTCAGCTTTTTAGGTTAACGTTACTATTTATCTGAATGTGCATTTTCCTTAAACTAGCTTCTTCCAGAGCTGTGGAATTTTTCATCAGGGATAAGTACGAAAAGAAGAAGTATTATGATAAAAATGCAGTTAATGCCTTCAATGTAAGTAAACAGTTTCACCAAGAATTCTGTCACTTTTCTTTTTTGAAAGCTACATAAGAGAAATGTAGAAAACATTATGTATGTTAATACGTCTTTCACAGTTGAAACCTTCTTGATAGAGAGCTAAATGCTTTGGTTTATATCTCCTGAAAGCTATTTCTAGGTTCTATAACTTCAACATTCATTGTCTATTACATTTATAACAGCAAAGCGTCATGATCCAATAAATAGCTTGCTTCTGACTCTTTATATTGTCTTTTTCTCTTTCAGTGATGGGTAGTTCTTCAACAGTATACTTTGAGTCCTTTCCGAGTATCTTTTTCTGTGTTACAGGGATAAGATAGGGTTACTGTTTCTGGTGACTTTGTCTCCCCTCATTCTCTGTAATACCTTGATGAGAAATCCTAGGGTGTTTTGGGCCCCTTTTCTGAGGGTCTTAGTGCTCTGCTGAATCCCAGTCTTGCTTGCAGCAAGGTGCGCTGTAAGAGCAGACATGGGCAGTGTAGCGAACCAGCTGTTTAATTGCATAGCTGTGGGGTCACTACTGTAAGTTGGTGAGTGCTTTTCTGGCAAAGCAGTTTTGAGAACGTCAGCCTCGTTTGGTTTTTTTCGATATGGCTGTTTCTGGGGCATACAATCTTGTTTATATATTTTTATTTATATATGTGTATTTATGCTTAAACAGTCTCCTCTATACTGACTTTATTTAACTATGACCTAACATGTAACTTAGTACTCCATCTTACTAGGCAGTGAACTTTGACAGGGAAGCGAGTGCAAGGGTGAGTGTAAAGAGTGGGAGTTTATGCTGCCTTTGCAATATGAGAGAATAGATCTTTGAATTATAGTTTCATTTTAGAAGGAAAAAAAGCCCAAACCTGGAAACTAGGGAAGTGTATTTCATTAACTGTTGTTGAAATAGGGGGAAAATTGCTTCACTTAAGAGGTAAAATACAGTTGTGGTTTGAATCACACTGTCAGCTACCCTTCCTTACTTTTATTCCAAAGTAGAAAATAGGAAGAATTATTTAAAATTATACTACTTTAAAAAGCTCAAAAGACTCCCAAGATCTTTCTAAACAGAGAATCTAGGTGTCTAATATAGTAGTCCACTGCTGCCTTAGTATGTTTGAAGGAGTAATCAGATTTTGCTTTATCGTATTGCAGACGAATATGAATTGCTTATCTGTCATAGCAGCAAGGATAGAATCCAGACAAGCTGAAGAGATGCATGTTACTGCTGAGTAGGGAGCACCATTTTATTTCTTCTTACTTGTGCTTTTCGTTCACTGACTAATGTAAATGGCATAATCTCTCTGAGATAGGAACAAAATCTGATTATGAAATACTTTAGCAATAGGACTCATGCACGTTCACATTCACTTGGATTTATTCAAGGCCACCAAATATCAGGTTTGAGGTGGGCAGTCTGAAATCACAGTTATGGCAAAATCCTAAAAGTACATGATACTAAATTAGCTGAACTAGTAGCGTAGCACCTGTAGTCCTGGTCTGCTCATGTTGGGTTACCCTCCTTGGCTCTGGTTGCCGCCCAGCTCACATGGGTTTATAGTGCTTTGACTGGTGTTCAGCGATCATCTTTCGAGGGCACCTGGGACTGACAGGGAAGAGGAAGAAAAGCTGAAGCTTGGCCTCCATTCTGCATGTCTGATATGCTGCTTTTCTGCTCCTGGACATTGTTGGCAGGGAAGAGGGGAAGTTATCCTATACTTCCAGCACATGGACGTCTGTGGGGAGTTTGGGACGAATGGGGTGAGGAAGAAGTGCTGCAGGGGTACACATTTCTGTGCCCCCATGCAGTGGGTGGTGATGGTTTCTAAAGCTTTCCTTTTGCAGTCCTGATGACTTCTGAGACACCTTCCCTCTTCCCACCCTGCCAGGAGGTGGCTAAGATTCCCTGAGAACTGAGGGGCGGCTGTGGAGGAAGGGGAAGATTCCTGGTTGTAAGCTTCAGCCCTCTGCCAGGTGTTTTGGTAGTATCAAAGCACTTGCTAGCACGATAGTTTCACGAGTAGAAGTCTTGTGAACTGTTCAGGTGGGGTGTCTGTGCTATGTCATGGTAAGTTCTCTTCTGGAAAATTTCTTTACCCCACTTACTTTTGTAGAGAGCACCCTGTGTCCTATTTTTAATCAAAATCAGCATTGTTGGGGTGACATGAGCTTTTAGCACGCTTACTTTTTGTGATCACCTTTGAAATAGCGATTCCTTCTGCTTGGATTAGGACCAGTTTAAGTTGGAGATGCATATGCATGTTGTCATTTGGTAAAATGAGTCCCTTCTGGGTGTGAGCAGGTAATACAGAAGTGCAGAAACAGGCTTGCTATGCCCTAGGGGTTGCTTGCCTTAACCAGGTAATTTCACTGAAGCAGTGTCTAAAAAATCTAAGGGGGTTTCCTGGATTTGGTCCACTGTTACAAGTTGTTTGTGGTAAAAGCTTCCTGTAGCATTAAAGGTGTTTTGAATAGATTCTCTTAAAACATGCAGTACAATATTTCTTTTAGTTTAATTTTGGCAAGATCATAAGCTTTTCAGATTTGTACAACATCTGTGTTGATGTTAATGTATTCTGTCTGTTGGACCCCAGGAGTATATGTCAAAGTTCAGTTCTTGGCTCTGTGATGCTCAGGATTCACGTATCTTATCTTTTGTTGCAAAATTTGTATTTATAAGTGTTAATTATATGAGCTGTTTCATTTTCTGACAAGACTGTTGTATTACTAAATTTGTTTTTTAGGGACACACACTATAATAAAATTAGCTAGTGCAGAGACTAGTAGTGCCATCAAACATGCAGACTAGAAATAGGAAAAAAATGAAAAATTAAATTTTTTTTTCACTGTTCACTGAAAAGCAATGCAGGATAAAGCTATGGGCAAAAAAGCAACTGCAGTTTTATTGGCTGCTTACATTTTAAATAGAATAATGCATTTAAATAGAAATGAAATATACATTAGAAAAATCTAATGCTGACTGAAAGCAGCCTGACTTTAAAAAATAATTCAAATCTATTAAAATGCGTAGATCTCAGAGTTTTCTGATGCATTGTTATTGGGAAAATGTGAAATGCTGGTTCTGTATCAGTGCTCAAGACTAAATGAGTGGTACAAATTACTCAGCTGTTATAAGTGGATTATCAGTAAATAGTTACTCTCTTGTTTTCTGGCTCAGACTCAGTGCAGGCTTGTGACTTGTTTATTGAAAGACCTAGGAGACTGACACCCTTGAACAGTGGTGTGTTTGGTTTCTGGTTTGTTTTTGTTTTGGTTTATTTTTTCCTTTGTTTTTTTTTTCTTCGTGGCTTTGTTTTGTTTGGTACTGGGGAATGTTCTGGTATCATTTAGGCCTAATACTCAACCACAATCTTAGGCTTTAGCCTTGAGAAAAATCTTTGGGAATGTAGCAGAAATGGTAGCCCCAGGTGCTCTGGGTCAGGTTAGGAGAGGTAGGTAAAGGAATTTGTCAAAGTGATCACACTATGCTTGTCCTTTCTTTTCACAGATGTACTTTCACATGTACTTCAGGTGAAACAAAAAGCAGGAGCTCCAATTCAGAATAAGCAGCTTGAGGGGGGAAAGCCTGGGAAAAAATGAAGTGATGTATTCATTACTTCTTACCAACACTGATAATACAGTTAAAATCAACCCGACGTTTTAAGGACTATGTTAATGTGGATGAGTTTTATGGGTGTCTTTCAGGTTTTTTTGAATGTTTATACTTTTTTAGATCTTACTTGGAACAGAAAACTTTTTCTAATAATTAGAATTTTTTTAAGTTACATGTGTGTTTGCTGCTTCATAATGTTGTTCTTGTCTTACGACAAGAAGAAAAAGTTTTAGAAAAATGTATAACAACAATGCATTTGTAGAAATACTTTATTTCTAGAGCACTGGAATATTGCCTTAAAAAAATGTTCTGTTTAGCTGCTGTTAAAGTAGCAGTATTTATTTTTAAGTTTTATTCTGATCAATGTAAAGAAGAGAATTTTCAGTATGTTAAGCCTACTCAGGGAGGCAAACTGATTTTTTTTTTTCCTACCCCATGAAAGTATCTTCTGATGCATGTCAGCTCTATGAAAAACTCTTATAGGTGAAATGATCTGTAAATGCTTGAATACAGTTGTAGGTTTTGATATTATGACTAAAACTGTGAAGGCAATGGTATAGTTTTTATCATGTTTAGGAGAATGTATCCTTACTATCAAAATTGATTCCATGTAAGCAGTGTAGCCCATGACGGAGTTAAAAGCAGTATTTTTCAAGCCAGTGCCTGTTGTAATTCTCTCCCAACATTAAGGTTGGGTTCACAGTAGTACAAAAGATCAACACTTCCTTTCTCAGAAAGTAGTTCATAGTCCTACTGTGGTGAGATCTCGGTTTGTCAAGACTTCTGAAGACCGACTGCTTAAGAAGCCCATGTCTCTTGTCTGACCAGCTGCCTTCCTTGTTTTGCCTTGGTATTCTGTAATTGTGAAACATTCAGGACTTCATGGTTATTTATGCTTTTTATGAATTTACATTTTTAAAAAAGGAATAATACAAGTAAAAACACTTGAAGCTGACAGGCTGTTACTTGGGAATATATATATATAGTAATATATATATTTGTTCTGTGAGTAACACATATGATTTGATATTGTTAATTGCAGGAACTTTTTTTGCTCTTTGAATAATCAACTTAGGAGCAGCAGCAGCTCTTAGCAAGTCAACTTATTTTAGATATCCTCAGCATAATGTCCTCCCAGAATTAATTTTCTGCCAAATCCCCTTTCTTAATTTTTAGGCATACGTAAGCTGTGAATGATGCAAAGTATAGCACAGAATCCAATGAAACAAGCTTCACATAGTAGTGAAATGATTAGGGAGTCTTTATAAATGTGATGCATCTAAGATAGGGTGACATGAGCAATTCACTGTGCGATATGCTGTGCTGTTTGACTTGATTTATCCCTGAAAGCTTGTACAATGCAATTGAGAGCTTG